ATTTTTTAATGTTATGTCTAATGTCTTCTAACATTAATATCTTTCATATATGTATTATTCTTCAAAGAATATTTGAATTGACTGCATAAAAACATCCAGAAATGTTTTTTTCAAATATGCCGGTATATTTCTTAGTAAAAAAAAGCCAGCCCTTCTACTAAAAATTACCTTATGCCTTGAATTCCCTTACTCCTTATCCCCTCCTTTCGTAAACATTTAACTCTCTTCACGTTGACGTTCAGTTGGTTCAGTTGCTTCATTTGCTTCCAACAGTGCTTTAACTTACATACCATTTAGAATCTAAACTTAAAATTATTTTAAAACTTCTTACACAATGAATATCAACGTATTAAAAGGAAATTCTATGAATCTATCTATTCATATGGATTCTATCGTGCGAACCTTTGAGAAGGATCTAGAATTAAAGATTTCTGCCGTCGCCAAAAAAAGAGATTGTTATTAGTAGATATTCGAAGCTGCAGGGAAGAAACGGCACTGTCTGTTCTTTTGTCAACAATCGGAGAGAAAAGTTGTGCAAAACTGTTCATTCGGACGAAGAAACTTATTGGAAAATATTTTTTTATCAATATGGATAGTGTTCGGATCATGTTTAAAAAGCTGATTGAATATATACTACAGCATGGTACTACTGATTATAATCATATCGTAAGTATGTGTGTGAAAGAGTTTCAGGAGCAGACGGATATGAAAGAAAATGTAGGGACCGAAACGTCTTCATCGGTAAATAAGAATCTAACATAGATACGATCCCGAATGAACATAAATAATTTCATAAAATTAATTATTGCAAATACTGACGTTCTAAAAAATATCATTTTCAAAAAGAAAAACTCAATGAAATTATTTTCAGAAACAAGAAACAAATATAAGTATATGCTAATTAATTTATTTTGCGAGTTGTCATATTAAATTTTTCGTTTTTCTTTTTACAGTATACAGGGCATGAACATAATTTTAATCTATTGATTAGGTATATGAAAATGTTTTAAATGTGTTTTACAATCAATTCTGTTCATATATAGTATATGTATTCTTTAAAACAATTATTTCTTAACAATTTCAACAATTATTAATGAGGGAAGCTAATATGTCTGGGAAGCTAATCATTATATAATTTTAATAATATAAAATACGTTATAACTCAGAAAAATAACTAAATGAAAATTATTTACGAAAAATACAAATCAAGCTGGCCAAATTGCAATACATTGCAAATGATATTCGTGTTTGGTACAAAATTTCTATCACAATTATACAAGTACTAATTATAGGTTGAGTAGGTTGCCTGATTAGGTTTCACTCTTTCTTCCAATAATATTATTTTTGCGGTAATACTAGACCTAAGACTAGAAAATAAATACATATGCAACATGTTCGAATTTGCATTGGAACTTCTATATTCTTTAGGTCAGAGAATCTCGTCAAAATGATCTGATCAATAGCTGTTTTTTATATGTAAACAGAATAATATTTAGAGTAATATAAATAAAAACAAATTCAAACAATTCATACAATAATAATATAACCAAATAATAACCAAATGTTGCAAAGGGCTATTGTCTATAAGCGTTTCTGCTCACTTTTAATATTGTAATAAAATAAGGTATGTTATTTATTATTATAAATGATAAAACCATAATGACATTATGTCATTAAACGTTTTCTATAAACGCAAAAAAACTTTCTTGTATATAGCTTTTTTGATCATAAAATCGACAAATACTGGATTTTGTATGTGAAAATATGTATTGAATTGCTGGAATGTGACGATATTAATATCAATTTTTGAATGGCTATTAATGACAATGTTAAGCAATTATTCTGTCTTTTTAAGCAGACGATGCAATTGACGCAAGTATTCTTTTAGCTTCAGCTTTGTACTTTTCTCATTATATTTCTGGAGGTTGTCAATGATCATTATCTTATAATGTTCAACATATTCACTAGCAATTCCAATTCCTGTTTGAAAATAGACCAAATTCCAAATTCACGTCTCATAATCTCCTTCATCCAGAGAGAAGTACTTTTGGAAGGAACTGGTACACCAACTTGCGGCATCGGATGTCTCATCGTCATAAACATTTTTAAAGTCTGAGAAAGTCCTTTTTGAATGGACATATGTTTTCGTATTATTAGTTGTGAATTAATATTATCATTACGCAATATGAACTGAGACACCAAGTTTACGAATAGCACATTTTCTTTATATATTTTCTGGATATAACTCGAAAGAAGAAAATCACTGTCAATGCTTACTACAAGTCGGTACTAATATTGTGATAGTAATGGCATATGATCCAAACCATTTTATACTTATTTTTCAATGTCATGCGCAGACGATAACATCCACCATTGGCAGCAATAATACTACCATTATTTGCGTGAAATTCAAAAAAATTCTAATACATGAAATTTACAATTTAATTCAAGAAATTCTATCATCATTATATGATTACTACTATTCCAATATTTCCTTTCACTGTGAATCTGTTGCTATTCTTAACACTGTCATTGTCCATCGACTTGGCTGAATCCCATTCATTTCACTGTTCATCTGTGATGAACGATGGCCCTATTGCTGCAAGCGCCGTGAGGGCACACAAAGGACCTGGCTTGACCAGGATTTGAACCCGGCGAAATCGTGGGTAGCGAATGGTTAAGTCCCAACCATTCGCCTATTAGTCGCCCGTTTTATAAAATTTAAACAAAAAATGATTCTTGCGACCATATGGCAATCGACCTAAGTTTTTCCGCCCAAAGATACAAAAAACATATAAATAGTCACAATAATTCATCGACTCTTCAAGCGCTGCAGCAATTCTGCGCGATTTTCTGTGTTCTTAGGCAAATTTAACTTGTTAATATAAGTGTTTATGTGTTTATGTGATCGTGTATTGCTATCGGCCTGTGTATTATGTTGTCCTGAACGTCTTTAGATAGCTCACTTGTCTTTTTATTAAGTGGCCTTATTTTGATGTTAGTTATACCCAGTATGGGTTTGTTGGCCTCTTCGGACATACACCTGGGGGAAGTGACGACGTGCAACGCTTTGTCGGAGGTTGGCCCTGGCATTTAGAGCACTTGGTTTTGTTTGGACAAGCGTCCGTTGCATGAGTGAATTCTTTCCCACCTGGTGCAATGCACAAGTATATGATTGCTCTATACTGCCGGGAAGTACTTGTTCATATAGAATAAGCACTCATGTAGAAGTCTTTGGAAGCACGACGCGCACCCGGTAATGGTGCGCATCTCGTAGGTTTGTTGTCCCGTCGCCTTGGATACGATCTTCTTGCAGAACCTGTGTTACGATCTTGTTATCGCCTCATGCACGTTTATCGTGAAAACATTAAGAGTTTTTTTACAAAATACTTCTTATCAGTTAAAATAGCAGGTTCTTGTAGCGTAAGACCTCGGTACAGCCATCTTGGGTTTTCGTTTCAGTAATTTTTTTGCTTCCGCTTTCCTTGCTCCCATCCGAAACCTGTGGCCTATGAAAGGCAAGATGATGAATCGGTGCCCTCTGCTTCCCGCTGGTCACAAGTATGTACTGCAATTACACAGCACACACTCGATTCCCCACACAAACGAAGCCAAAAAAACAGAAACAATTTATCACTAGTCTGCTATCAACGTACTGCTCGGAGTCTTGAATCAAACTGATTCTTCATTTAAATATATTTAGTTTTAATACATTGACATTTTATAGAATCTATTGTCGTATTCGTTTTATTTTTTAATATTTATTTATACAAATAATATATACATTAATATTTAGTTACCTTTATGTATAGTTATTGGCGCAGTAAGAAGTTGTTCTTGATAATCTTTTATAGCAACGCAAAATTTAAATAAAAAATTGTAATGATTTTATGAAAGTTTTTTTTTTAACTTTTTAATTAATATTTCATTTCACTGAGAGTTTTATAATGGACGTAATTTCCAATGCAAATCGAGATTTTAGTTCTTTATTAAAAAATAAAACGTATTTCATAATCATATAGTCATTGTTATATTAAATAATATTTGATTGAATTATATTATTATTATATTTACTTCAACAAATTACCAAAATATAAACATAACACAAAAACATAATCACTGAAATAAAACTAAATAAATCTGTTGCAAAGCGGTAATGACCGTAGGTCTTTATGCACTGGTTGAATTATTTTATTTATTTAAAAGTCTATGATTTATTGTTTCTACATCAAAATTTCTCATATTAAAGTAGACATACCGGTTTTAAAATTTTATGTAACAGTGTCTACTTCCATGCAACAATACTAATTGAAAAAAATATACAGGTATACATCCAATTTTATATAAAAAAAAAACTGGAAAATAAAACGAAAATAATCTCAAATATGAAGCATCTTTATTAACTTTGTTTAATTACGGAATTTTTATATTCATTTTTATTTTGATCCATATATCAAATGTATGTATGTTCCATTATTTGGCTCAAAAATTATTGTTATTATTATAAACGAATATGTTAAAATTTTATTTTAAAGTATTTGTCGTCAAGTTCTATTAGTATTGAAAAATAATTATTTAAGTATTAATTGTACAACTACACAGCTTAGAAAAAGACGACTTATAAAATATACCAATATTTTATATTATAATTTTATCCGTGATTTGGTTTCCAAATGTTATATATTTTCCAGATACAAATATGAAGTTTGTTATTTAATTTGTAATATTATCTTTATATATGTTCACATTAAAACTGTCATGTTAAAGACATCAGTCGAACCTTTTTTTTTCAAAGCAAATAAACTTTTTTATAAGCAAATATAATTATAATTATAATGAAATGTAATAAATGCAAAGCACAAACTCGATACAATAATTAAAACATCTGCTTCAATTAGCTTCTACTCGTAACTATATTAATATTCCGCATGCTTCAAAAAAGGAAAACATTGTTATTTTAATAAGCTAATAATATATTGAAGAATCATAAAGAAAGTTGTATAGGATTTTATAATTATAAATTGGTTTTGTTGGTTTCGTTGTTTTTTTCTAAATCGTCTCGTAGTGTTTTTGTACTGTTCCTAGCGAAAATAATGAAATTTTTAAAACTAATTAGTAAAATAATTGCAATACATTAATAACTACATCTTACTTTACCTTGATTATAGGATTCATATAACTTTCCGTGCAAAGGTAACATTTGAATAAAAAATCATCTTCATCTGAATTGATTTCATACTTTTATAATCACCAGCCTGCAATTCCTTGTTCAATTGCCATCCATGCTTATAGTCACACCTATCGTGCAAGAAAATACAAGTATCTCTGAAACTTTTCAATTTTTGTAAATATTAGGTTGAACATCCATGAAATTCGCCGACGCATAGAATTTCTGAAAATTAAAAGTAATTCATTAAAAATTGTAATAATTGTAATATTTTCTTAAACCAAATCATAGTTATTAGGGTCTATTATACTATAAAACTTACTACAATCGCTGTAACAGCTTGATTAGTTTCCTTCTCTTCATTACTTGAATGTTGGCGTTTTTAACATTAAAGTACATATATCATTGCCTGGATCTACCATTTCTCTCTTTAGCTGCAATAAATTGTATAATAATCTAAAAATTATTATGAATGATGATGATATTACTTTATATTAAAAAGTATATGGCAAAACTTAAAGAATAAGGCCTTTCTCGGCTTTCCCGCATATGATAGTAGGCAATAGTGACGACTATCGGGAAATTTACTTCTTTTGAGATATATCACTTTCAGAGATGGGAATTACAAATATGAGTTAAGAATTGAATGATTAATTGCAGTAGAACGGAAAAACTATCAGAAAGGACTTCATTAGGCTTTGAAATGTTTGTGAAATACAAAATAATAATCATTGATAATGACAAAGATGAAGGAATACTTCGGTCAATTTGTTTGCTTGAAATGGCATAAGAATGAAGTTATAGTGCATGCCCTTTAAAATTTTTATATCATCTTGTTTCTTGATTTTAGAAAGAAATAAAGTTTTTTTTTGCGATAATTCCATTCGATACATTACAATATTATGATTTGTAATTACTATATATATTATTCAATAAATGGTAAAATTGTTACCAAACATTTGTTTTAAAGCATACATGTACGAAATCTAAACAGAACAATTTCTAACTAAAACTTTATACTGCGCACTTTTGTCCTATATGTTTTTCTATATTATTTATGTTATAAAGCGACTTTTAATAAGCTTCATACTGATGTGATAAAAAAAACTTTGATTATTTAATTTTCATTGTTTTAATACAAAGATTCAAATCTATTAATATAGTTGATATTAATGTTATAATTACACGCAGACGAAAGCGAGCAGTAACAAAAGTGGGCAGTAAAACAATCACGTTAAATACACCCACGACTTAGTGCCTTATTTTCTGGGAATTTGGTTTTGGATGTTTTTATAAAATACATATAAATTATAGCACGAATATTTATTTCCATATACACTTGTTATGAACAGCTAGGTAGGTTTTTATTTTAAAATTACATACACATTCTTGTGCATTTAACGTTGTTTTACTGCATGCTTTTGTTCTGTGCGTTGTCATGTTTCAATATTTTTCAATAACTGGAAGAAAGTTGAGAATACAAATGTATTTGCAATAAGTTCAGCAACATCAAAGTAATCACTCCACAACTCCAGAATACAAGTATAAACCACACAAAAAAAGAAGGACAAGAACTAAGAAATAGCGAATTTGTATTTTTAAATTTAAAAAATGATACGACAAAATTCTTATCAACTAAAACTAAATCATACATTCAACGTTCACTAGTTTACTTTGCAACGTTTAACAGGTCACAACTCACAAACGAAAATACATATTAGAATGGATCGATTAATAAACAAACATTGCGTACAGTCAAGAATCAGTTCATGTATACAATTATTTTATTGTATGGTTATATTATAATTAATACATGTTTTATTGACATTTGATCTGTCGTAGATACGGCGTATTTGATGATGATTTAACATTGAATTATTTCCGATTAACTTTTCACACTATTTAGTAGATTTATGTTTGGAGATTATTACGTTTACTAATTTAATTACCGCTGCAACTGTTTGTCGTATAAGCAATTTATTAATGTTTAATAGTTTTGTTGGAATCATTACCGGTATTGCAAATTCAAACATCATATGGAATAATAAAAATTAGAAATAGCTGAAGTATTCAAACTTTAGTATTTTCTATCGGTATTTGATATTATACCAGAAGTACTATGAGCATAAGAGAATTAAATCAACGAAAAGATGGCAAAAGATCATTGTTCAAAATGGAAAATATATTATTGTATAAAGTTTAATAATTATATAAATAAAACATTTCATTTTAAAAATAGTAATATTTCTGACAATAAGAAGTTATACAATGGAAGAGACAGCATCTGCTCGCATAGCTTAGATGCAGGAAATACGGTTTGATATGCGGATGCTTTTTGTATGTTACCAATATTTCCAATAAACGCGAACAAACGTTTTCAGATGTTATTTACAATTTTATTTTGCTGCAGGTGTGCACCCACAATAAATAGAAACATTCAATTCCCCATCGTATATGTATTTTCCTTTTTATTTTTTCAGAAATACTATTTTAGATACATATTTAATACTTGAAACTATCACATTCTTCCTGTTTACCACATCCAAGAGAAATATCTATAAGGAGTCGATTCGGTGGACATTTATAAGATATAATGTAGAAAATATATAAGAGATAATGTGGAAATATAACAGTAATATTAATAAATATCATACATTGCTGTTTAAATGCCAAATTAGAGAAATAGTGGATGAATAAAATGATCATTAACATCAAGAATATATAAAGGGAATTAAATTAGAAATTTCAAAAATAAAACTAAATCAAAAACCAAGTGAAAAGAACCGATACGACAACGATCTTGTAGACGATACTAAATAACAAAGAATTCATACAAACCTCGACATATCATGATAACAGACGTGAATAATCAAGAAAAGTTCAGTTTGGAGATGAACATTCTGCATACAGAACTGTCATTAACACTCTTAATAATCACAATATATTATGGCACTCTTATGAACATAAATATAACGAAGATATTAGAGACATGATCTATAACACATTTTTAAACCAATAATTCAACATATTCAATCTCTGCGAACAAGATAAAAAATTACATCCTAATTAAAATGGCAGTTGTTTCTATTGAGTCAATATGAAGTAACAAATTAATTCAATTGTAAAACATGTCAATCATTTAAACATACTCAAAATTACGGTAATAATGCTAATAGATGTGTTAAGTCCGTTGGTTCTCACCCCACAAGTGTGAAAATCAAACTCAGTATAATCTAAGTATTTTCATTGTGGATAAAAAAACATCCTGCAAATTATCGAGGATATGAGGTGCCACAATAATTACCACAAATTAAGAGATAATGGAAATAGTCCTAAGCAACAGGCAAAAACTAATAAGGCTGGATATAAAATTGGCTCGTAATAATCTAGAGAAAGCTAATATGAACATCGAAAAATTAGATTTCATTAGATGCCTCTGACATATTACCAAACTTGAACTTAAATGATATATCGACTGCTTGAGAAATAAATCTGGTGAAACCACATCAGAAATGGCTTCTGAAATAACCATTCCACAATTAACATGATTCATCGTATCTCTGATGTCATTGAAAAATCATTAGAAAATAAAAAGGTGTCTTAATTGATGTTGCACAAGGTATGTCTGGAAGCTTTATTACATAAAGTAAAATACATTGAGTAAAATATGAATATTCATATTCAGATTTGAAGTTGATTAGATCTGGAGTCCCACAAGGAAGTGTTATGGGACCAATCCTGTATCTGATTTACATGAAAGATGTACCAAATACTCTTTACAGTACAACATCCACCCTTGCAGGCTCTATAAATTAGAATCACTCCACTGTGAGAATAGAAGACTGCACATTACGAGGTGTCTGACGATGGAGCCAAAACATCACAAGTTATCGATCTCGTCCATGTAGATTTACCATTTCCTTGGTTTTTGTCGGTTCTACTTACATGTGTCTCTCTTCTAGGAATGTCATGACGTATAATTTTATACTTTAAAGGATGATATTATGAATGGAGTGGATGTGGCCAGAGTTTGGTGTATTTTGCCTTGCAGAGCACAGATGTTGTCGGTTGTACCGCGGCCTTTTCCGAATCCAGAGAATGAGGATGGAAGTATGGATCGAGCTTTAATAAATCTTTCTAGTCTGGTTTTCATCATCGACTCTAGAGATGGATTTTTGCATTGATAATATCATCTCAAGCTTTGTTTGCGCATTTGATTTCTATTCGTTCGTATTCATTCTACGGCATGCTGCATTTTGGACACCTGTTTAAAGTGGAGCCTACTTAGTCGACCAAGTAGTATGGTTCATGGAGTTGCAAACCGCACACTTCAAATCTGGTATTTGGAGCATCTAGTCGTGTTGGAACATGCATCCGAAAATTATGTGTATTCCTGATAGGAATACAAGGTACAGGAACCGAAGGTGGTGTGGCACTTTTCACAGTCGGGAAGTGTTTGTTCTTGTAGAACAACCCTTCGTGAAGGAGTTTCTGGAAGGAATCCAGGAAATTTAACAGTATCAGTCCGTTTCTGCGTTATATGTTTCCTGCCGGAAGAGCCATCTGAGTATTCTACCCTCAACTTTATGGTGAGAATTGCACAAAGTAATCACACCGTGAATACCTGGTGGCACTAATTGGAGCCCAAAACATGTCACGAAATAGGGCAAACACCGATAAACTTCTTCTCCTATTTTTCCCTTCACGCTTCATTTAGCTTGCGCATCTTGTACAATTTGGCCAGCCAGTGAAATTATGTAGTCAAAAATTAAAAAAAAAAACAATGCGATAAACTTAGTGAGTGCTATATATGCTCAACCGTGATTCTAGAACTGAAAGTTTCTTTTCAATCCAACATTTTAAATATCCTCTCAAAAAATTAATTGCTTGACAGCAAATTTAAAATTAATATTTGTAATTATATGAAAATGAAATGTAATGTATTAATTAAAATTAGTCAATAACATTAATAAAAAAAATCGAAAGAACAACGTTTAATTTTCAAACAACAAATGCTTTAATTGAAACAAATGGATACAATTATTTCACGTTACATCTGCGCTCCCCAATTTTTTGTTGTTGTTGCCCTGGTCACAATTAAATATGCTGCATTGATGTAATATACGCTTGTATATTTAATGGCCAGAGAATCAGCTAAAATTTATTTTTATTTTTTTGTAACGTCGTTTCGTTCACTCTGTTGCATTCCGAATTAAAATCGGATTTTGATTTATGTATTCTGCCGGAAAATGAATGCAATTTTAATTATTAATATTGAAACAATCGGTTTCTGCCCAATTCCTTTTTATTGTTTTTTGTGGCTCGGCGCGAAATTGCGAGAGCGAATATTCGAGTTCGGCACTAAATAGTGCAGTCAAAACCAGTGCGCACAGACATAAAAAAAAACGGGTGTATCTGGTGTATAGAGTGTATTTCTGTATACGTAGGCACGTTTGTATTCTTTTTTTTATTGCGCCGAAATTAGTTTCAATAATTTACATTAA